TGTTCAGCATCTTAGCTGTGGAGGGCAGTGTCACTGGCCCTCCTATGTGGGATCCGAACCGGGGCCCTCTGGCATCCCAAGCGAGTTCTTAACCATCGCGCCACTCGGCCGGCCCGGGGTTGGCATTTTTAAATTCATAACATAAAGTGCATAAAATTACAAAGGAAACCAGTGGCACTGTGAGATACAGTTATCAAAATATTCAAGAAAACAAATGTGAAGTGACAGTTATATATGTGCCTGTTTATTAGCACATTAAATAACAAACTGTGCCGAGGTGTAATTAGTACCATTACTCCCAAGTGGTGATGGATTTAAACGATACTTCGCAATTTCTGTAACAACTCTAAGGTGATGTGAAAACATCTGTGATTTTTATTGGTGACAAAGTCACAGGTACCGCGAATTTTTTCTCATTAAAGGAAGTGCTACCTTTTGGTTAGAGGTTGGTAAAAATAAAGATGTGTTTTTTTCCCCCATCTTTGTTCATGGCCCCAGCTTCTGTCCATGAATCCCCTTGAATCTTTGCTTCAGTTGCTTAATCAAGGGGTGCCCTGTGGGACCTCAGGGGTGTGGGGGTTGCTTGGGGAGCTCAGGGCAGTGGCTGTTTATAAGCTGGTGAGAAAAATGTCAATATTTTGAGCAAATATTGCACTGGGCGCTGTTGCGTCTGCTGAATGGGTGGCAGGGAGCGAGCCTGTCCCCTCGGACAGCAGCGCCAACCGTGCCCACACCCGGTGCTGCAGGAAGACCAGCAGCATGCTGGAGGTGGACGACGAGGGTGGCCGCATGTTTCTGCGTGTGCTCATCCACCTCACCATGCACGACTACGCGCCGCTCGTCTCGGGGGCCCTGCAGCTGCTCTTCAAGCACTTCAGCCAGCGCCAGGAGGCCATGCACACCTTCAAGCAGGTGCTGTCCCCACCTCAGCTCCCTGGCCCTCAGGGAAGGGGAGGGAGGCCTGAGGACCACCTGACGTCAGCACTGAACAGGCAGACTGCCCTGGCCACACACTGGCCTGCGTTGGGCACTGGGGGTTAGCAGTGACGGAGGAGGTGCTCACAGCTCAGAGGGGAGCTGGAGGTGCACATTTGGGGTTCTTGGCCTTGTTGAGCTCCTTAAAGGTGAGGGCCAAGTTTTGGCCACTTTCATCTCCTCTCAGCCTGGCTCAAGGCCTGTCATTTCTTATGATGTGGACAGCATTTTACAGTTTGCAAAGCTCTGTCACGTGCACCTTTGCTAAGTGCATCAAATCAACGCCTGGCACGCAGTTAGCCCTCACCGAGATGACTGGTTTTGTTACTGTGATGTCATTTGGTCTTGATGGCTCCCTGTGAAATGGGACTGGCATTTAACGAGTGCTTGCTATGTACCAGGCACCGAGCATGGGACTGACATTCATGGAATTCTCGCAGCAGCCGTGACAATGTGGTTACTGTGCTCATTCCTGTTCTATAGAGGGGGCAGATCGAAGTCCTCCCTTACTCACTGGCCTGGAGTGGGTAAGGTGGGAGTCAGGATGCAGGTCCCTCTTTCAGCCAGCATTCAGTGATGCCAGAATGCTCTGCCCTGCCCTGGTTAGGGTCCGAGTGAACAAGTGACAGGCCATAGTAGCAAGTGACACGAGGCAGTGCGGGACTGAGGCCAGGTGATGAGGCAGCTGACGACAGGGAGTGCAAGCAGGCCTGTGGCCATTCAGGGAGGCTTCCTGGAGGCAGTGGACTTAGGGCAGGGCCACAAACATTGAGCAGGTTTTGGCTCGGTGGAGAGGAACAGTGGTGGGACGGGGATGCCAGGAGCAGGAGCCTGGAGCAGGGCAGGCACCGGGAATGCCTTCAAGGCGGTGGACCTGGGGTGCCCGTGTCAACAGGCAAGCCCATTCTTGACCTTCAGGTGCAGCTGCTGATCTCAGCCCAGGACGTGGAGAACTACAAGGTGATCAAGTCGGAGCTGGACCGACTGCGGACCATGGTCGAGAAGTCGGAGCTGTGGGTGGACAAGAAGGGCAGTGTCAAGGGCGAGGAGGTGGAGGCAGGCGCCGCCAAAGACAAGAAGGAGGTGCGTGGGCTTGCGGGGAGCGGGGACAGGGCTCCCTGGAAGGGCTGGTCCTAGCTGATCCCAATCCCTGTGCTCCTAGCGGCCCACGGACGAGGAAGGCTTTCTGCCTCCGCCTGGGGAGAAGAGCAGTGAGAACTACCATATCGTCAAGGGCGTGAGTGGCTGGGGTCCTCAGGGATAGGGTCTGCCTGCCCTGGAGGCTTTGGGGGCCTGGCCTCTGTCTCCTCCCAGCTCTGCTGGCCACTGGCCCTCAAAATAGACATCTTCCAGCTTTTCCTGCACGTTAAAAACAACCCTGCCAAGGTCCAGATGGAATTATTTTAAAGCTGAAGGAATGTAATGAAATTCCATTTCACAGTCATATTGTTCTATTTACTTTTATGGGTGGAATTGGGATTTTCGTGCTCCCCTGCCTTCTGATGATCTGATTCAGTGGCCATGGCCTTCTTCCTGCTTCCTGTCTAGGATGAGCGCTGGGACCCAGCTGCGGTGGGCAGGGCACTCTGAGCAGCCCGAGGAGTGGGCTGGGGGAGGGGAAGCCTAAGGAGGGGGGAAGGGGCTCTGGGCTCACCCCTCTCCCCGCCAGATCCTGGAGCGGCTGAACAAGATGTGCGGTGTTGGGGAGCAGATGAGGAAGAAGCAGCAGCGGCTGCTCAAGAACATGGATGCCCACAAGGTCATGCTGGACCTGCTTCAGATCCCCTATGACAAGGTGACCCATGGCTTCTGACCTCTGACTCCCCAGGCAGCTTCACCCTGACCTGACCCAAATCACACACTAATCCTTAATGCTGACCTAACCCAGACTCACCCTGACCTTTTACCCTGACCTGGCCCAGGCCCACCCTGGTCTCTGACTCCAAACGTAGCCTCGTCTCAACCTTTGACCCTCCACCTCCTGACTTTGACCGACCTTGATCTTGATGTGTCCCAAACCTCACCCTGACCCTTGACCCCGACACCACCACCTCAGTGTTCACCTGACCCTGACCCCATATTCCAGCCTCATCTCGACCTCTGACCCTCAGCCCTTCACACATTTCCATATCCTGACCTGGAGGCCCAGCTTTCACCTGGAACCCAGGCCCTGACCCACCCTCACGCCTGTCCGACTCAGGCCCCAGACCCCGTCCTCGCCTTCCTCCTGTGGTAGGCCCAGCACCCTCTCCCCTCTCTGTGCCCAGGGTGATGCCAAGATGATGGAGATCTTGCGCTACACACACCAGTTTCTGCAGAAGTTCTGTGCGGGGAACCCCGGCAACCAGGCCCTGCTGCACAAGCACCTGCACCTCTTCCTCACGCCGGGGGTGAGGGAGCAGGGGTGGGGGCACCGGGGTGGGTGGGGTCCCGCGGCGTGGAGGCCCGCTCTCCTGCTCTTGGCGCTCTGATTCATTCATTCTCCGCCGACTGGAGCCTCAGACCTGCGGTGCTCCGAAGAGAGGAGGGAAGAGGGGGCAGCCGCGAATGAAGNGGACGCCGTGCCACCCAGCTTCTGGAGGCGGAGACCATGCAGCACATCTTCCTGAACAACTACCAGCTGTGCTCCGAGGTCAGCGAGCCCGTGCTGCAGCACTTCGTGCACCTGCTGGCCACCCACGGGCGCCACGTGCAGTACCTGGACTTCCTGCACACCGTCATCAAGGCCGAGGGCAAGTACGTCAAGAAGTGCCAGGACATGATCATGACTGAGGTGAGGGCGGGGCCGAGGGGCACATGGGACTTGGGTGTGGCTGCAGGGAGGGAACCCGGGGCCAGGCCCAGAGTTAGAGAAGTCAGACAGCGGGTCACGAAAGGCACACTGGGGTGCTGGGTGTGGAGGGGCCACATAGGGAGAACTAAAGTCAAGAGGCAGGTCTCGCAGAGCTCAGGCTGCAGCCCAACAGAACTTAAGTGCCCCTTAACTTAGGCACCTAGTAGGACTCAGCTAACAGGCCTGCATGCACTCAAAAATGCATTCCTTTATCATCTAGTGTCATTTATTTAAAAATCATGAAGCACCTGCTGTGTGCCAAGGACCATGTATACCTGGGCAAGTCAGTTGAGTTAAGTGTGGAGGGATGGGGGCCACGTCCTTTGTGCTCATCGCTAGGGTCCCAGCATTTGGCACATAGTAGGTACTCAGTAAACACCTGATAACTGAAGGCATGAAGGGTGAAGGGCTGAGTCTAAATTCGGAACAAATGTGGTCTCTCCCTGGAGCGTCTTATAGCGTGGGGTGGGCAGGGAGAAAGGAGCAAATACTAAAGGGAGATGGGACACTGTGAACTGGAAGTGTTGTGCAATGTTAATTATTAATTGCTATTATTATATTACTGTGAATAACAATCGCTGACAGGAGGGAGATGCAGTGTGTGCTCTTTGAGGGTTTAAATGAAATGCTGTGGGAGCACAGAGGAGGGAGGTGATGAGCTGGGCAGGGCGGGATTTGAAAGGGCTTCCTGGAGGAGGCGCCTCTGAGACAAGTCCAAGTGGGACTTTTTTCCTTGGGGAAGAGGGGGGACTTTCTGGGTTCAGGGTTCAGTGTCCCTGATGGCAGAGGGCCCCAAGGGCCAGGAACCCCAGAAACTCAGGCAGGAGAAGGTTTTCGGAGAGTTGGGTAAGGACGGGTCAGAGTCTCAATCTCTCCCTGGTAAGTGCAGAAGGGTAGACCCAGGCCCTGCTGCACTGAGGGGCCTGACACGTTCCCCCCCATCCTGCTGGCAGCTGACCAACGCAGGTGATGACGTGGTTGTGTTCTACAACGACAAGGCCTCGCTGGCCCACCTGCTCGACATGATGAAGGCCGCCCGGGATGGCGTGGAGGACCACAGCCCCCTCATGTATCACATCTCCCTGGTGGACCTGCTGGCTGCCTGCGCCGAGGGCAAGAACGTCTACACGGAGATCAAGTGCACGTCCCTGCTGCCCCTGGAGGACGTAGTGTCTGTGGTGACACACGAGGACTGCATCACTGAGGTGGGCCTGTGTGTCCACACAGGGACACTGAGGACTGGGCGAGGTGACTGGGGTTGGAGGAAGGCCTCGAGGGTGAGGGGTACTAGAGCCAGCCTGAGCAGAGCCGCCTTGCAGCCCTGCGAGGAGGGGCAGTAAGGGGAGGTGAAGGAAAATGGGGACAGGAATGGGAGGCTTGGGGAGGGTGGTGGGGATGTGGGCGGAGAACAAGGGGAGGTCGGGAGGAATCGGTGAAGTGCAGAGAGAGGGCCTGGGCGGGCGGCCCTGCGTGTGCCCCTGACCTCCCGCCCCTGCTGCCCAGGTGAAAATGGCCTATGTGAACTTCGTGAACCACTGCTACGTGGACACCGAGGTGGAGATGAAGGAAATCTATACCAGCAACCACATCTGGACACTCTTTGAGAACTTCACCCTGGACATGGCTCGGGTCCGTCCGTGTGGGGGTGTGGACCTGCAGGCGGACTGTGGTGGCTGGGGGCCTGGGCAGCCTTTCAGGGGGTGGGAGTGGAGGGTGCTGTGTGTTGGATGCCCCCAGGCATTGCTGTCTCCTATCCCAGGTGTGCAGTAAGCGGGAGAAGCGCCTGGCTGACGCCACCCTGGAGAAGTATGTGCTGACCGTCGTGCTGGATACCATCAACGCCTTCTTCAGCTCCCCATTCTCTGAGAACAGCACCTCCCTGCAGGTGAGCTTCTTGCGTCCCAGGCAGCTTTTCTGTAGGGAAGGGGAAAATCAGAATATATATTCATATTTCGTTGTCATGCATAAAGATATCGCAGGAGTACAAGAGTATCAATTATCTATGCTGTGTCACAAATTACTCCAAAGTGGAGGAGTTTAAAACAACAAACATTTATTATCTCACAGTTTCTGTGATCAGGAATTACAGTACCATAGAATAGGAATTCCTAAATTCACTGGGTATGATAGATCCTGGGTGGCAGGGGATGCCTGGCAGCACTTACCAAAGACAAAGTGGGCATGCTTACCACAATGGGCAGCAGAGCCAAAGCAGTCATCCGGGGAGTCTGGTGCACCAACTTTGGTGTTGATCATGGTGTCCCTAGAACTGAGATAGGTAGACAGCCTTCCATCTGTATAAGCAGAAAAGCTCCGGGCTCATGAGCAGAGGTTTAACTTGACTCAATGAAAGAGTCAGAGCCCCTCAGCTAATTTCCAGACATCACAGCCCCAGAGCCCCGTGATGGAAAAGAGCCAGATTCTCTTGAGGAAGGAGCCTGCTACTCCACCTGAGTCATAAAGTAACCCTGGAACATACACAAGAAACCAATAAAAGGGGCTCCCTACAGGTGGAGGGGCTGGGAGTGGAGTGGGGATAGTGCTGCTGAGAGTTGTTAGAAAAATGTTGGGTCCCACTTTCCCAGCAAGGGTGGGTTTATTTTGACACATGTGTGCTTGGGCCCTGAAACCTCTTTGGGACTGTGGGGCTCTGGTAATTTGTATCAGCTTTCCTTACTTCTCATCAGCCACAGGGCAGAATGTGGGACAGTGGGGGTGATGGGGTCAAAGGTGGGGGTGAGACTTCTCAAAGTATGCCTTTTTATTACTTTTTAGCTTTTGAACCATGTAAATGTATCACCTTTTCACAACATTAATGTATTTAAAAATATTTTTAAAGGAAGAAAAGGGTCAACAATAGGGCTATAAGCCTCAGGCCTGGACCTTGGGGAGTTCTCACAGAGCTGCCGTGTACAGTTGGGCAGGTTGTGCACTGCTGAGGAAAGGGGGTACCGTTTTCCAGCTGTCACAGAAGCATGTGGTTGCAGTGGAGGCTGTGTCCCTCTACCAGGCCTGTTCTCTGTAGCTCTGTTTCCTGGGCCTGGGGCTGCCTGGGGTGGGGGGTGGGCCAGGCTGCAGCAGCCGGTGTGTTGCTTCTTGCAGACACACCAGACGATTGTGGTGCAGCTGCTGCAGTCCACCACACGGCTACTCGAGTGTCCGTGGCTGCAGCAGCAGCACAAGGGCTCCGTGGAGGCCTGCATCCGGACCCTCGCCATGGTGGGTGAGTGTGCCAGGGCCACTGGCTAGCTCCAACCACCCCTCCCTCCCCTTCGCCACAGGGACGCATGCCCTCACAATAAGCAAGTTATCCCTAAGCTCACCCATCATCTGCTCCCAGGTGGTTCTCAGTAAGTCCTTCTTGGTGTCTAACTTGCGTCTTGGCAATCTTGTTTTCTCCCCTGAGTCAGCTCCCCGGAGGAGAATGCTGGGTGACATTCCCCAACCAGAGTTTCTTGCGCTTGCATATGGTCTCAGGCAGGAGGGGGGCCTGTAGATGTTAGGAAGCGTAGGGACGGGAGAGAAGAGAGAAGGAGTCAGGGTGGAGCCAGGGTAGGATCAAAGAGGCAGAAACTTCCTCTTTTTACCTAAAAGGAAAGGGCACCTCGGTCCAAATGGGGCCAGGGTGGGGGTTCCTGCACCCCAGGCCCTCAGCCTAGTTCACCTTGTCCACCAGTACAGCAGCCCTGCGAGTGGCCTCCCTGGGTGGCTTAGCCACCCCACCCCTGACCAGCCCTTCGGTACCCCACCCCTCTCCCCATCCAGCCAAAGGCCGAGCCATCTCACTGCCCATGGACTTGGACGCCCACATCAGCTTGCTGCTCAGCAGTGGTGCCAGCTGTGTGGCTGCTGCCCAGCGGAATGTGTCTAACTACAAGGCGGCCACACGGACCTTCCCCCGAGTCACCCCCACCGCCAACCAGTGGGACTACAAGAACATCATCGAGAAGCTGCAGGTGGGTGTGGGGCGTCCGCCACGGGAGCAGCTTCGGAAGGGCGTGTACTTGAGGAGCACCCCTTCCTGTGCTGCCCACTCTCCCTGGGAAGGGCCTGGTCAGCTCGTCCCCTCCTCTGGGGCTGCTAAGCGTAGGCCCTGGGCAGGGGACCAAGGGGCATCATTCCAGGGGACCCAGGAGAGCTCAGGGATCCACAAGTGGGGTTGGTGCTCATAAAGAGGGTCAGGATACCCCTCAATCCTGATAACACCTTTCTGTTTATGCAACGCATTTCTGTCCACTGTCTTGTCGGGCTGTAGAGCAAGTGTGATGGCTTATTATTCCCATGTGGCAGGAGACAGAGGCCCAGAAACGGCAAGGGATTTGCCCGAGGTCACTGAGCTAGAGAAGGGGCTGGGAGAAAAGCTAGGGCTTGCGCTCCCAGCCGAGGGCTCTGAACAGACAGATGTTGTGCTTTGTTCAGGGCAGTTCTGTGGGCCCAGGGTTCCTCAGACAGGTGTGGGGCAATCTGTGGGGCTGTTCGGTGTTGGGGTGGGTGGGATGGCAGTCAAGCCTCAGTCATCTTTTGGACCTGGGTGGCCTGCACCTCGCCTGGCGGTGACCCTGTCTTGCCCACCTCAGGACATTATCACGGCCCTGGAGGAGCGCCTGAGGCCCCTGGTGCAGGCCGAGCTGTCCGTGCTGGTGGACGTCCTGCACTGGCCCGAGCTGCTCTTCCTAGAGGGCAGTGAGGCCTACCAGCGCTGTGAGAGTGGGGGCTTCCTGTCCAAGTGAGTGGGCTGCTGGGTCGGGGTGGGAAGGGAGCAGGGGTGCAGCAGCCTGAGACGGAATGGCCCACAGGTCAGAGGGCGGGGGCAGTGGCTGGAGGGAGGCAGGGGGGGCTGCCCTGACACCCCCTCCTTCCTCGCCGGCCAGGCTGATCCAGCACACCAAGGACCTCATGGAGTCGGAGGAGAAGCTGTGTGTCAAGGTGCTGCGGACCCTGCAGCAGATGCTGCTCAAGAAGGCCAAGTATGGGGACCGGGTGAGTGCCCAGGCAGGCTGGATGCCAGAGGGGCTGGCCAGGAGTTCCAGGGGCTCAGGGCCAGGACCGTCGGGCCAGTGGTTACATGGCCTAATGTACCAGTGTGGGGCCTCGCTCCCTTCCTCCCAGGGCAACCAGCTGCGCAAGATGCTGCTGCAAAACTACCTCCAGAACCGGAAGTCCAGCTCGCGGGGGGACCTTCCGGACCCTGTGGGCACTGGTCAGTACTGCCTCCCCTGCCGTGCCTCTGGGTGGCCCATTTGCCCAGGCCCTGGGCTCTCCCTCTCCCCAGCCTCATTAGCTCCCCCTCAAGCAAGTCCTCCTACTCCAGGCCTGGACCAAGACTGGTCAGCAATCGCAGCCACCCAGTGTCGGCTGGACAAGGAGGGGGCCACCAAGCTGGTGTGTGACCTCATCACCAGCACCAAGAACGAGAAGATCTTCCAGGAGAGCATTGGCCTGGCCATCCGCCTGTTGGATGGCGGCAACACCGAGATCCAGGTGGGAGTGCTGGGGCTCTCCCCTCCTGGGGTGGGTGCCTCCAGCTCAGGAGGGATCAGTGTGCCAAATTTCTGAGGCCATGGGGGCTTGTCTTCTGGGCTAGATGCTGGCGGCACTGCAAGTCTGGCTACCTGTGGGTGGCTCCACCTCCCACATCTGCCCCCTGTGTCATATGGCCAATTTTGTGTCCACACACTTCTCCCTCTGCTGCAGCCAGGCCTGAGCCTGTCTCCCCACCATGCTGCTCTCCATTATGTCCACCAGTCTTGCCTCTCAGCCTCTGCTCAGGCCTCCTTCCCTCCTCTTCCACGTCCTCGTCAGCCTTTGTTGCCCAGTTAGAGGCCTACCTCCTCCAAAAAACCCTCTCTGATTGCCTTCCTTTCTCCTTTCCTCCCTCCCTTCCTTTCGATAACTCTGCATTAAGTGCTTTCTGTGTGCCTGGCAGGGTTACAGGCACTAAGTATTCCACAGTGAAAAGAAGACAAAATCCATGTTCTCTGGGTACTTACATCCCAGTGGGGACAACAGTCAATAACTGTAACGCCTGTGTAACATGGGCAGCATGCTGGATGGTGATTGTTCAGTCAGGGGCTTAGGGAATGCTGCACGAGGGACGTCTTAGATGGAGGGTTTGGGGAAGGCGCTGGAGGTGAGCATGTGGGCAGTGGGCAGGGCGGACTGGGCAGAGCAGGCAGCTGCCACAAAGGCTGTGACTAGGAAGCGGCTGATGTGGTTGGAAAGGGGTGGAGGAGTCGTGAGTGGTGCGGCCTGGGGTCAGAAAGGTGGCAGGCCATCACGTGGCCTCGTGGGCACTGTGAGGCATGGCTCTTCCTCTGGGTGAGATGGGGCTACTATAGGGTTTCAAGCAGAGGAGGGAAGTGACTCAGATGTCAGAGGGACATCTTGGCTGCTGAGTGGGGAACACATGAAGGCCAAGGGCAGATGCAGAAGGTGGTCAGACAGCTAGTGCCAGCCTACAGCATCACAGTTACAGCAGTTACAGGCCCTTCCCCCTTCACCGTCCCCCACCCCAGTCTTAGTCCAGGGTGCAGGTGTGTCTCTGGCTCCCCCATCTCAGTCTGGTTTGAGAACTGTTGGTGGCCCATCTGTGCCCTATCCTTGTCCCTGCAGCATGGACGGAGGTCTCCGGGGTCTCACCAAGGGCTGCTTAGAGCCTGGACCGGTGCTGAGGCTACCCCCTCATATCACTGTCATCCCCAGAAATCCTTCTACAACCTGATGATGAGTGACAAGAAGTCAGAGCGCTTCTTTAAGGTGCTGCACGACCGCATGAAGCGTGCCCAGCAGGAGACCAAGTCCACGGTGGCTGTCAACATGAACGACCTGGGCAGCCAGCCCCGCGAGGACCGGGAGCCGGCAGACCCCACCACCAAGGGTCAGGGTCACCCTAGGAACACAGGGGTACAGGGCGGGGGTGCTGGGTGCGGTCAGAGGGCACAGGGTGAGGGCATCACAGGGCAGGGATAAAGGCTTAGGATGTACGAGGGGGGTTCAGGGTAGGAACACAGTGAGGGTGAGGGTCTGGGTACTCCAGCAGCCCCAGCCTCACCAGGCCTTGCTCTGCAGGCCGGGTGGCCTCCTTCTCAATGCCTGGCTCCTCATCCCGCTACTGGCCGGGCCCCAGCCTGCGCCGGGGCCACGAGGTGGGCGAGCGTGTGCAGAGCAACGAGATGGGCGTGTGCGTGCTCATCATGCAGCCCATCCTGCGCTTCCTTCAGCTGCTGTGTGAGAACCACAACCGGGACCTGCAGGTGAGCGCCTCGCCACACTTCCACACCTTCCCCTGCCATCCAGCCACCATGGGGACCCCCAACCCCTGCCCTCCGGCCGTGCACTGACGCTCTGTGCTGTCCTCTGGCCTGAGCACCACTGCTCTGTGGCTGGTGATTCCCTCACCCCTGCGTGCGGCACGCAGGACCGTGGTCCCAGGCAGGCCTTTCCCCGCCTGCTGAAGCCGTGCCACGCCCACCCCATCTGTGTGCTCTGCAGAACTTTCTGCGCTGTCAGAACAACAAGACCAACTACAACCTGGTGTGTGAGACGCTGCAGTTCCTGGACATCATGTGCGGCAGCACCACGGGAGGCCTGGGGCTGCTGGGGCTCTACATCAACGAGGACAACGTGGGCCTCGTCATCCAGACCCTGGAGACCCTCACTGAGTACTGCCAGGGCCCCTGCCATGAGAACCAGGTGAGCTATCATGGGGTATAAGCGGCAGCCGGGTGGCAGAGTGGACGTGTGGGAGGATGGAGCAGGCTAGGCAGGGGAGAAGCGAGGCCTCTGGGGCTGCCACAGTCCTGAGGTGCCTGGGCCCGGTGTCCCCCCACTGCTCCTGCCAGACCTGCATCGTGACGCACGAGTCCAATGGCATAGACATCATCACTGCGCTGATTCTCAACGACATCAGTCCCCTGTGCAAGTACCGTATGGATCTGGTACTGCAACTCAAGGTGGGACCTGTGGCAGCCCCTGTGAGTGTGCATGTGATGTGTGTGCACATATGTGACATGTCAGGTGTGCATATTGGTATGTGTGATGTGGGTGCCACGTGTGCAAGCATGTGATGTATGCAGGTTGCATGTGTGTAATGTGTATGTTTATATGTACATCTGAGTGAATGTGTGAGCTAACATGCCGGATGTACACTTAACTCTAGAAGCAAACATATTCTCGTTTTATGTGAGGGCCTCCTATGTGTGTGTCTGCTCTTTTGGGGTTAGGGGGAGGTGCGCCTGCTACAGGGCGGGGTGAAGGTGGCCTGGATATGCAGGACACTTCCCAGCAAGCCCTGGGGGTAGGTGGGGAGTGGGGAGGCTAGGAGAGGCTGTTATGGAGTACTCAGCAGAGAGGGTTTTGGGGATGTGCTGGGGCCCTCAGACTGGTCTGCCCCTCCCCCCACCCAGGACAATGCCTCCAAGCTGCTTCTAGCTCTGATGGAGAGCCGGCATGACAGTGAGAACGCTGAGCGCATCCTCATTAGTCTGCGGCCCCAGGAGCTTGTGAGTCTGGGCTGGTGGGCAGGGGGGCAGGTCACTGTTGGGGTGGTGGGCATGGGGACCCAGCCCTTCCTATGCCCCAAGAAGAGGGCATTTGAACAGGCACTGCCCCATTAGGTGGACGTCATCAAGAAGGCCTACCTGCAGGAGGAGGAGCGTGAGAACTCGGAGGTGAGCCCACGTGAAGTGGGCCATAATATCTACATCCTGGCGCTACAGGTACCAGCCCCACCCCGCGGCCCCGCCCCTGGTGATCATGTCCCCCAGCTATCTCGCTGCGGTGACTGCCACTGCCCTCTCGCTCAGCTCTCCAGGCACAACAAACAGCTGCAGCATCTGCTGAAGCCTGTGAAGCGCATCCAAGAAGAGGAGGCTGAGGGCATCTCTTCCATGGTGGGGGCCTGGGACAGAGCTGGGCATGGGGGCGGGGCTTGGGTCTAGGGGAGTGGCTGGGCGGGAGAGTGGGTGGGCAATTATCTGGGGATGAGCCTGGGAATTGAGGGCGGGGCTATGACCTGAGGTCAGGGAGGAGGGCAGAGCTGAGACCTGAGGGACTGGCTGGGGGATGAGGGGGCGGGACCAGGAACTCAGGCGGAGCTGCGGCCCGGGGGCGTGGTCTGGAGCTGAACAGCAAGGATCAGGGAGCTGAGCTAGAATTGGGGGGCGGGGCTCTGGGCGGGGCTCGGGGCGGCTGTGGCCAGTGGTGAAACCGGGACTTAGAAGTGGGAGCAATGTTGGCGTGGGTCTGCGTAGGTCCGGAAGCCTGGAGCAGGACCTAGGGCGCACCTGGGCAGGACTGCCTTATAGGATTCTGTGGACATGGTTCTCCCACTCTCTTCTACCCCTTTGAGGCTGGGTCCTAGTTGGGCTGGGCTGGGCTGGGCTGGGCCTGGTCTGGCCTGCGGGTCACTCACCTGTAGTTCAGAGCTGGGCTCAGGCCTTGTGGTGAGGGGCTACCAGGCCTGACCTCAGCACCCTCCCCACCCCCAGCTCAGCCTCAACAACAAGCAGCTGTCACAGATGCTCAAGTCCTCAGCGCCTGCACAGGAGGAGGAGGAGGACCCTCTGGCCTACTATGAGAACCACACGTCCCAGATTGAGGTGGGGCCTGCAGGCAGCAGGGACAGGGGGAGTGAGGACCGTGAAACCGGCCCTCGGTGGCCTCGGCCCAGGTGTGACTGCATGCCTGTGTGTGCCCAGATCGTACGGCAGGACCGCAGCATGGAGGAGATCGTGTTCCCAGTGCCTGGCATCTGCCAGTTCCTGACGGAGGAGACCAAGCACCGGCTCTTCACCACCACGGAACAGGACGAGCAGGGCAGCAAAGTGAGCGACTTCTTCGACCAGTCCTCCTTCCTGCACAACGAGATGGAGTGGCAGCGCAAGCTCCGCAGTGAGGACCCCGGCGGGGCGGGAGGGCAGGGCTGGGCCTGGAGCTGCTCCCTGAGGCTTGAGGCCTCCCTCACCTGCTGCTGGGTGCCTCACCCCTGCCCCTAAGAGGGCTCCAATCCTGAAGTGGGGCCTGGAGCTCGCGTGGGCAACGGGCCCCTGTGGGGTGGGCAGATGGTGTTCGTCAGGGCCGCCCTTACACCAGCCCACCACCACCCTCCTCCCACAGGCATGCCGCTCATCTATTGGTTCTCCCGCCGCATGACCCTGTGGGGCAGCATCTCCTTCAACCTGGCGGTGTTTATCAACATCATCATTGCCTTCTTCTACCCCTATGTGGAGGGCGCATCCACAGGTCAGGACACGGGGCTGGCAGGCAGGGGCCTTGCAGCCCACAGTCCCCCTCCTCCGGGTTCGGGCAGAACTGTGGGGCCAGCCAGTCTCTGAGGGGACCAGATGCAGAGTGGGGAGGAGCCCCCCCCCCGCCCTTGCACTGCCCTCTGGGCTTCACGTCCCATCATGGAGACACACAGGTGTGGTCCAGTGGGACAGACAGGGTCCTGACCTCTGGAGACAGGGCTCGCATGTGCAGACCCACGAGCCACAGACCAGACTGGTGGCAGCAGCTAGAGAGGCTCTCCTGACTTAGGCCTAGAGGTGCAGGTGTGGCGGGGGCCCTAAACCAGGTGACCAGGAACTTAACCGGGAAGGCTTCAGGAAGGCGTGGCTTCTTGGGATCTGCTGGGGTGCGGTGGGCTTGAGCAAGCAGTGCTGAGCCCTGCTGCCTGGCCCCAGGAGTGCTGGACTCCCCACTCATCTCGCTGCTTTTCTGGATCCTCATCTGCTTCTCGGTCGCGGCCCTGTTCACCAAGCGCTACAGCGTTCGCCCCCTCATCGTGGCGCTCATCCTGCGCTCCATCTACTACCTGGGCATTGGGCCCACGCTCAACATCCTGGGTGCCCTCAATGTGAGTGCCAGGGAGCCCCCCCAAACCACTCCCACGGTCGCTATGCAGCCACTCCTCTGCCCCACTCCCTCGTCCTAGGCTTGGGATTCCAAGCTCATTATGGAGCGACGGCGGGGACCCATCTGGGCCTCCCCCATCTCCCTGGGTAGCCTGGGGCAGCTGGCGCTGAGAGACAGACAGCAGCCAGGATCACTCCGGAAGCCCATTTTCAGGGCTGCTGTGCACACGGTTCCCACTGAGGACAGCAAAGACTTGCATATTATGACAATTTTCTGACAAGTCAAATGCTTTGAGCAAGGCGGGCACCTTTTCCTAACTCAGTCACTGTACAGGCGAAGGGTGATCTTCTCCAGTCCAGCCTCCTTTACTTGTAGCTCGTGTTCTTCCTGGACCTGGGGGAACTAAGGAACTTCTCTATTCTAGTCCCAGGAGCCCAGATGCACTTTTGGGAGTATTTTCATTAATGTGTCTACTGGGCTGAGCAGGACCAGCTCAGATCCACTCCATGGAAGGCCAGGCCTTTGAGCAGGGTGCTGGGTGGGCAGGGAGACGGGGTGGAGATTCAGGGTGGGCAGTGGGGCCCTGACTTCCATGTCCTACACTCGCCCCCAGCTGACCAACAAGATTGTGTTCGTGGTGAGCTTCGTGGGCAACCGTGGCACCTTCATCCGGGGCTATAAGGCCATGGTCATGGACATGGAGTTCCTCTACCATGTGGGCTACATCCTGACTAGTGTCTTGGGCCTCTTTGCCCATGAGCTCTTCTATAGCATCCTGGTGAGTGAGACCTGGTCGGGGGCTGGGCTGGGCAGGGTGCAGGGGCAGTTGGGGCTTCCGGTGAGTTGCTCGCGGTTTTATAGCACCAGCCTCTCTGTCCAGTCCTCTTGCTGCTGGGCTTGGAGGAGGAGTGCATTTCCAGAGTCGTCATCTGCCTGACCCCAGCCTGGTCTTCAAGGCCCTGATGGCCACTCTCAGCCCCCAGCCGACCCATCTTCCCTGTATGGTGCTGGTTTAAGCCTGGACTCTGGGGCCACACCATCCTAGCTTGGCTACTACTATTAGCTGTGTGACTTCTGGCAAGTTTCTTTACTGCCCTGTGCCTCAGTTTCCCCATCTGTAAAACAGGGATAATTGACAGCGCCTACCTTCTAGAATAATTGTGGTTGAAATGAGCTAAAGCAGAGAAATCACACACACTGTCCTGGCACGTAGCACATGCAATATAAGAGTTGGCCGCCCCTCTCCCTCTGTGGGGTATCCACCTGCCCCTGGACCCCTCCTTTTCCTTGGCCTTAGAACTCCAGGTTCCTTCGAGAAGCGCTCCCTGCCGCCCCCCGCCAGGTCCACTGACCTGGCTATGCCTATTAAGCGCAGACCCTACCGGAGGAGGCTGTGGGAACCACTGGCAGCTGGGCAGCCCTTGGTTCCAGCAGTGTCCCCAGCCCCTCAATGCCCCGTCTCTGCCCTGCAGCTCTTTGACCTCATCTACCGTGAGGAGACACTGTTCAACGTCATCAAGAGCGTGACCCGAAATGGCCGCTCCATCTTGCTGACCGCCCTGTTGGCGCTCATCCTCGTCTACCTCTTCTCCATCGTCGGCTTCCTCTTCCTCAAGGATGACTTCATCCTCGAGGTTGACCGGCTGCCCAGCAACCACTCCAGAGGTCCGGGGCCCCTCTCCTGGGTGGTGTGGTATGAAAGGGCCTGCACATGTGACTGACATCAGGACCAGGGCCTGCGAGTGCTTGTCCCCCCAGGCTCCTGCCTCAGTTTCTCATACTGGGCTCTGGGCCATCTAGCTCACAACAGTCTGCCTTCCTCTTCCCTGGGACAGACTGAGGAGGTGGGCTCTGGCTCCCTAAGGAGACACTTGTTTGCAGACCTTGTTATTCGTGTTAGACTCAGTATTTATAGGGGCTGTCTGTGTGTCAGACTTCGGGGTGCAGACCCCCCTTTCCTGCCCTTAGTGCACATCTCAGCTGGGACAGGGCATGAAGGCCCTTCACATGTAGCCAGACAGAGCCGGGAGCTGGCAGGATCAGGGAAGGCTTCCTGGAGGATGTGATGTGGGGGACAGAAGCAGGGGGAAGATAAGGCCAGGTATTTGGACCTCCTTATGACCTTGTCTATGTCCCTTCCAGCCAGCCCCCTGGGGATGCCACACGGAGCTGCCACATTCATGGGCACGTGCAGCAGGGAAGGGATAGACTGTGTCTCAGGGGTCTCGGTGCCTGAGGTCCTGGAAGGTGAGGGCAGTGTGTCTTGGGGAGTTTGGGAGGGGTGGGGGGCGGAGGCAGGTGCCCTGGTTTGGGTGTGAGCACATACTCCTCTGACAGAGGACGAGGAGCTGGACAGCACGGAACGGGCCTGTGACACACTCCTGATGTGCATCGTCACTGTCATGAACCATGGGCTGCGCAATGGTGGCGGCGTAGGCGACATTCTCCGCAAGCCCTCCAAAGACGTGAGCACCCCGGCCCCTCTCCCAAATCCATTTGGCCCAAGCCCTGGCCGGACCAGCAGCTGAGGACCCTGCCCTCAGGTCATGGCCAGGCAGAGCAGCTTGGCCCTCTCAGTCTTCAGTGTTAAAAGCCCCCCACCCATTTGTATCCACCTTTCCCTACTTTCCCACCCACTCAGTGTACAGTATGTTGTCACTGAGCCATCCTCACCGCAATCTGCACAGGCACCCCCCACCAGCTCACTGTGGGTACTCTAAGGAAGACCTTGGTAACCGAGCTTTGCCCAGGCTGGGGAAGGCATGAGTCAGCTGGTGGGTGGTTCCCTGGGCCCCACTGGCTTCATCTGTGAGGCAGCACCCCGGCCCACAGCAGGGGAGGCAGGGTGGGAGCTGAGCCGGCTTCATGAGGAGGCCTCAGGATTTGGCTTGGGCAACCCAGCCTTCCCGGAACAGCAGTCTGTTCCCAGTCCCATGGGGGCAAGAAGCCACCTCCCTGGCCAGACAGAGTTTCTAAAACATGTGAGGCGAGGAGTCCTGAGGGTGGGGCAGGAGTTCAATGCTGGCTGTTCCCCTAACCCAGGGGTCAGCAAACTTTTGAGATGGAAGAGCCAATCCTGTCCCTCACACCAGTTTAAAAATTATTCGAGAGCCATAAGTATATTTTTACAAATAAGGAAAAATTTTAAATCCTTTAAAAATTTTATAAATGAAACTATAATAGTTTTATTTTCATTTTCAATTTTACTTCAGAGCCACATGTACATACCCAAAGAGCCGCATGTGGCTCGCGAGCCGCAGTTTGCCGACCCCTGCCCTAACCAGGAGTTAGGGCCAGGCACAAGCCTCGCCATGTAGCCCTAACTCCTTCTCCAGGGCTTTGTTGCAGCCGGCATCCTTTCTGAGCCTGCTGTTTCCTAATCCACACTTGGGGGTGTGATTCGCTCCATGGAGTGAGGCTGGGTCCACTCTGCCATTGTCAGGGCCCTGGGAGCCAGGGGTCCTCATGACCCTTGGCTCTGGGCCGGGCCCCTCTGTCACAGCCCTGACCCCGCCTGAGTCCTGTCTGCCTGGTGAACTGGGGACTGCTGGGCCCAGCCTCCCTGCCTTGCCCTGCAGGAGTCTCTCTTCCCGGCCCGCGTCGTCTACGATCTCCTGTTCTTCTTCATCGTCATCATCATTGTGCTGAACCTCATCTTTGGGGTGATTATCGACACCTTTGCTGATCTGCGCAGCGAGAAGCAGAAGAAGGAGGAGATTCTCAAGACTACGTGCTTCATCTGTGGTGAGGCCTGGTCCCTGTCCCACGGGGCTGGGTGGCCTGTGGGCTGGGACATGTGGGCCAGCGGCACCCTCAGCCTGGCTCCTCCCTTGGTTCCTGTGGCCACTGGGGAACCCTGCCCTGGGGCTGATGGCTTGATGGCTGCTGGCTCATCCCAGAATCGAGGACAACAGGACCTTGCCTAAACTTGGAGTAGTCGAGGGAGCAGGAAAGGACCTCAGAAACGATTCCCTTAAACCCTCTTAATTTACAGAGGAAACTAAAGGCCAGTCAGTGGCCCCGAGCCTCTGGTCTTAGTCCAGGGCTTTTCCCATCCCTGGTATGAAGTACTGGTCCCCTCACCAGCTACCGCAATCTAAGGAACGGGTGTCTCCTATAGGACAAATCCTTTAGCCAGATCTCTTCCTGCTTCCCTGGGTTTGAGGAATTCTGGCATTTGCTGTCATTGTCCTTAGCTGCCATTGTGGAGGGCTGCAGCCATGGCAGGGTGGGATCTCCATGGCTAAGTGGCTGGTGCTCTAAACAGAAGTGACCTAAGTAGCCCAGAGTGGGCTGTTGCCTGTGTTCATCAGAGCTTTCAGCCCAAGAACAGACATCCCCACTACATCAAGAGGTGGTTGTGTGTGGCATTAGGGGCCCCACGGGGGCTCTTGGAGACCGACGGCTTCACCATCTGCATCCTCAGGTCTGGAGAGGGACAAGTTTGATAACAAGACGGTGTCATTTGAGGAGCACATCAAGTTCGAGCACAACATGTGGAACTACCTGTACTTTATCGTGTTGGTCCGCGTGAAAAACAAGACAGACTACACGGGGCCCGAGAGCTACGTGGCCCAGATGATCAAGGTGTGGGCCCTGGTAGGGGTGGCCGCGGCTGCCTGCTCTGACCGGGAGGCCTGGGGGTGGGGCAGGACAGCTGTGGACACTTGTTGAAAGGCCAGCCGGGGAGTGGAGGAGCAGCTGGAGCCAGCCCTCGGCCACGTGGGAGCCCGGCCAGCTGCCTGTGCTGCAGAGGGTCCCGCGTGGGCTTGTCAGAGAAAAGCCCACGGCAAACCCATCAGCCCCAAGACGGGCATGGTGCTCCTGGGCTGTGGGTACATGATGCTGAAGTAGCACGGGAGCAGGGCAGACCCTGTCATGGCCGCTGCTCTGTGGACCATTCCGAGGGAGCCTTTGCAGGCTCGGCGTGAGGAAGGGCAGTTTCCCAAAACCTGGATGGTCCCAGGCTGAGAGGGAGCCTGGAAAAACTTTCTGACTTTGGAGGAGTGAAACTTAATCTGTCCAATTTCTATAGTAACGAAGGGAATGAAGACTGAATAAAAAAAGGTCTTGTAGCGGCGTGTTGGGTAAAGGCAGCCCATCAGTTCCATCAGATGTAGCACATCTTCAAATTGCTGCACAGCAGATAAATTGCAGGCTGAAAGGAAAGACCTATTTACTGGGGAAAAGGAGTTCTGTTTGTTTTTTCAGTCTGTAATTTGAACTGATCTTTGAGTCCAGGTTTATCATTTGGTCTGAAAATTCACAGCTTGCCACAAGGAACCAGAAAACTGTTTGGTGCCCCCCTCCCGCTCCCCCCCTGTCCTGGGAAATGTGGCTTTGCCTCTCAGACACGTCAGATGCCAGCGTCCTCAGCAGGCCTGCCCTGCTCCCTCAACGTGCCATCTGTCTGACTTGCATCTTCCTGGGGTGTGGGGTTTGGGGCGCGTGTGTCAGGGCAGGGTGGGGAGGAAGGAAGGAGATTCAGGGCCTGGGTGCAGGGCCTTCCCCTCCACCTCTCCAGGGGTGTTGTGAGAGTAAACAGATGGTGCTGATAGCAGTGAGACTCCGGCAGTCTAACGGAAGTCAGCCTGTCAGTGCCGCGGCCCTAACGCCCACAGAGGTTCACTGCCAGCTCTCTCTGGCCCCAGGGAGGACCCGGTCAACTCAGACTTTCCCATGACACATCCCTGGGGAGTACTTTTGTCAAGGGTGTGGCAGCAGGCTCCCCTTACGTTACTGCTCTTCTCAACGAGGCCTTCCTAGGCCAGGCCCGAGCTTGTTCAGCCCGCTGGTGATCTCTTTCAGAACAAGAACCTGGACTGGTTCCCCCGGATGAGGGCCATGTCCCTGGTGAGCAACGAAGGGGAGGGGGAGCAGAACGAGATCCGGATTCTTCAGGACAAGCTCAACTCCACCATGAAGCTGGTGTCCCACCTCACAGCCCAACTCAACGAGCTCAAGGAGCAGGTGTGCACCCCAGCCCTGTCCTGGCACCACCCTTGGGGTCCCACACCGGGCAGCCCAGCCTGCCACGGAGGAGGAGGGAGGAGGTGCCAGGCCTTCATGTCCCCCTTTCTTCCTGGCCTGTTCTTGGCTCTGGGGTAGAAGACAGGTCGAAAACACATTCTCCTCTCTGTAGAAAGCTAGACTGGGGGTGGCAGTCCCCATCCCTGAGCACCTGAAAGACATGGCCAAGCGGAGCCTTGGGGCAGGTGTCAGGGCCCCCCTCACTCTTAGCAGTTGCTAGGAAGTCCCCCCGAGGGTTCACTGGTGATGGGGGAGGTCAGGGCAGCCTTCCGCTTCTCAGGACTCCCTCGTGTCTAGAGTATCGTCTCCATCTGGCAGTGGCAGTGAGATTAGGCTGCTTCTGTTAGGTGGGGCAGTTTCCCAGCAGCAGCACATCAAGGGTTTGTGACACTGATTGAGGACGAGGGTTTGGGGCTGACGTCCTTGCTGCACCCCGAGGGCCTTGGCCTGCCACCAGCGTCGAATGGCAGTGGGGTCCACGGAGGGAGGGTGGGCACCAGCCCTTCCACAGTGCCTGTGGAGAGGGTGCCGGGTGGCCTGACCAGTTGGCATGTTTAACCCTAGATGACGGAGCAGCGGAAACGCAGGCAACGCCTTGGCTTCGTGGACGTCCAGAGCTGCATGAGCCGCTGAGGAGAGCCATGGAGGCCCCATCGAAGGCCCAGACAGGGATGCTCATCACTGGAGAGCTGTGACAGGGAACACTGCCCCTTTCCTTGGGTCGGGTGGCCCAGCCAGCCCACCGGCCTCAAGGCTAGATGCCCACCCAGCCTCCAGCTCCTAATCTGCCAGACCCCCCCCCCCCCCGGCCAACCCAGGATCTGACCAGCATGCAGGGGGAGCCCTTAAGATTCAGAAAGTCACTGGGACTCAGTTTACCTTAATGCCTTAGAGGAAGGTCAGTCCTCTTAAAGGACTATTGCTTTGTCCCTGAAATCAGAAACTGACATTCCTTTTATTCCTCCTTGTGGGTGATTAGGAGTGGGGTCACCTCTTTATTAAGCACTACATTTTGGTTGCTGCCCACCTCTGGGGGGAGGTGCAGTAACACTGTTGCTAGTGATTCTAGGGCTTTGTTACTTAACTTATTCACAGGCTGTGCTTAGCCCTGCCCTCGGCTGCATAGCCCCCCTGCCTCAGATCTGCTGTAGACAGTGTAGACCTGTCTGTCCAGGCCGCCCCTCTGGTGCAGCCCCAGGTGGACTGGTGACCTGAGGATGGAGAGCCTTGCTCATGGGACCTGCCTCTTCGGGCCTCCTGGGAAGGAGTCACAGGCCCAGGTGACAGGGCTGTGATGTGTTAGAGTGGCTGGTTTTTGACTGCTTGTGTTTTTTCCTTTTGGTGTAATGTTTTACAAATCCTTTGGCCTGAGAACTAATAGGTTAATTGCCTTAAATAAATTAATAGAAATACAGTCCATTAGAAAGGGATGCTGTTTCCTATACCCGCTGGGGGTAGGTGGCATGCTGGCAGAGGACAAAATACAAGCCCTCGCCCTTGGCTGGACCTCACCTTGGGCTTTTGGGAGATGCTTTGAGTGACATTCTGTCTCACAGCCATTCCTAACCAAGGGTTTCTAGACAGAGCTACTGGTTTGCAGTATGACTGGTTTCTGTCATAGTCCTGTGTATTTTATTATATGCATTCCAAAGCATACTGAGGAGTCCCGGTACAAACAGGGTGAAGAACCCACTTCCACTTCTTCCCCATGAGGGGAAACTGCTGTCGGCCCCTGCCCCACCCCTTCCCAGCTCGGTTTTTGACTGAAGAAAGCTCAAGTATGAAATATGAAGTTCTACTAGTAGGAGCTAAGGCCTCATGGAGTTTAGGCGACCCTATGTGTGTGTCCCTGGCCAGGAGCCTTTGTCCTGTGGCCTCCAGAGAACTCACCCAGAGTGCTGAAGCCATGACAACCCAAGGCCTATCTGCAGCTCCACTCTGTCCCTTAAACCAACTTGGAAACGGGTTTTCTGCAAGGTCAGGGGCAGAGGGCCAAGCTCCGTCCGGAGTCAGTGGAAGTGAGGGCCAAGCAGGCTTTCCCCCTCTCTGCTGTACCCCCGCCTGCTGCTGTCTGTTTGCTACAGGATGCCTTCGATATTCACTGCTATTTTTGGCTCTCTCCCAGGAGCTCCTCTAAAAGGGAGCAAAGAGTCTTCCCAGAAGGCAACCAGACCCCTGCTGACAGGTGGGGCTCCATGGCTGTGCAGGAAGCACCTTTTTCCAGAGGTCGGAGCCCCGCATTTCCCCTCCGGGAGACTGCCCTCCCCTGACCGGCAGGCAGGGAGGATGCTTGATGGCATCCCTTCTCAGGCTGCAGCTTTCTTTAGAGCAACAAGGGCTTCCTTTCCGCGGAGGCTAGATGAGATTCCTGAGGCGGCCAGGGAGGAATCAGGGCAGTTTTATTTGTGATGACAAATACAAGACTTCATGCTTAGGTACGTGGGCGAGACAAGGCCTGAGCCCAGGCCTTATGCTTCTCCTCGGGATTCCTGGAGGTAAACTTCTCCTGCAGTTTCTTCCACATGCCTTTATTCATATCCTTAAACTCTTCCAGGGTGTCTGCAAATGAGCAAGACAAATAAAAGACTGAAGTCTAAAATCTGATTATGTACATTGGCCCCACAGGGCTTTTGCATATGAGCATGTCTCACTTTTAACACGAATGTTTCTGAAAAGAGGAAGTGCAGACCCAGCTTCTGAAAGCCAGTCAGATAGGTCACAGAAGAATAACTGCTAGCGTTCCAGGACTGAGCACTTCCGTACCAGGACCCTGCTAAGCACAATGCACCCTTACACCATTCAGCATCTAAGCAGGGCCCCCAGTGCCCTGCTCCACTTGAGTGGGCAAAGAAATGGCACTGTGGTGTCAGCAACCCACAGGCCCGGATGCTCTCTTTCAAAACTTGGCCCATGCCACACAGACCTCACTGTGTCCACTTTTCAGGTGTGGAAACTGAGGCAGAGGGTGGTTAAGTAACTTGCTCAGGTCAGCTACAAAGAAGTAGAGCTGGACCCAGGTGGTGTGGGTCCACCACATGCTGGGGAGGTTGAGCAGGAACGGGGAGACGGACCTGAGCCAGAATCTCTGCCCATCATTTCTCCACTGGCTCCTCTCAAACAAATTACCTCTGAGCTTCAGGTTCCTCATCTGTAAAGTGGAGATAAAAATACCTGCCTCAAAAATTGTGAGGATTAAAGGAAATTATAATAGAGGTACCTTGCCTGGCACCTGGCCTGCACCCAAGAAAAAGGTGACTATCTTCATAGCTATGAAGGCAGCAGGGAGCTGATGGAAGGCAGTGGGGCCCTTGTTTCAGCGCGCGTGCACACACGCACACACACCTAAATGAACTAAAGCTGGGTTTCTCAGTCTCGGCTGAGACTGAGACATTTTGGACCAGATAACTGTTTGCTGTGGGGCTGACCTGTGCATTGCAGGGTGTTTGGCAGCATCTTGGCCTCTACTCACTAGATGTCAGCAGTAGACTGCTACTGCCACCCCCGCTCCTAGCTGTGACAAACTAAAAATGTCTCCAGACATTGCCACATGTCCCCTGGGGGGCAAAACTGCCCCCAGTTGAGCACCACTGGCCTAAAGTCCAGGGCTAATGTACTATGATACCTAATTTTACCTGTATATTAAATTTAGATTTTCACATAATACTGTCTAAATTTCCTAGCCTGGATTTTCATCTGTTATCTGTTAAGGTCTAGAGAAAAGGAATAGCTTTTCTGAATAAAAAGGTAACTTACATTACTTACTAACACTGTCAGTGGGCTCTTGACTAAACAAGGACACACTGTACCTCAGCTATGAGCCCAGCATCCCACCCTGGGACTTTTCCAGAAGTCCAGGTTCCCTTGTGGGGCACAAAGCGGGATGCTGAGGGATCCTTGTCCCCTTACAAGCCATGAAGTCTCCTTTCAAGTCTCCCATGACCCCAGGCCCAGGGTGGACACACTTGGGACCCAGACTGAGGCCACTTGGCAGGCCTCAGATCCTCTCACTACATACACTACAAGGTGTCTTCTTGGCCTGTCAGGAAACATTTGGTAAGCTTATTCCATAGTCACAACAAAAATATGAGGCTTGCTGTGAAGACAAATTATCAGCACATTTCCTGGAGCTGAACTCCCAGCTGGAACAGCAGCAGCACAGGCCATGCAGGGGAGTCTGAACATCTCCGCCGGGGCACGGTCCGCCCCCACTCACAGAGGCTTCCCTGAGGGCTAACACAGAGGGCAGAGGCTGGGCCTCCAGAGCCCATTTCCATTCTAATTTCAAGTTCAAACTTTGCTCAAACTCTCCGGGCCCTCACAACGACACTGCATCAATGCTGGTAATGACATGGGCCAGGTACATGGGAATAAAATTATATATTTTTTTAAATTGCCAATAAAGTGATCCTGCCTGGTCAAAATATCTTTACCCCAGTTTTCCAGAGAGTACTGTAATAAAAATAGGATTGGGGTCAATGGATACAATAGCAGGTAATACCACCAGGTTTTAATCTGCTCAGAAGGTAAGTTTTCTGGAAGGCCAAATCCCCAAGACTTAGTTGCTGAAGGCTGCCAGAGGAGTAAGAGATAGAAATTTTTAGAGTACCAGAAGGTGAATGTTTCAGGGCCCTGCCCTCCCAGAAAAGGTTAGCCTATTTTTGTATATGATATCCTTGGCAATGAATATAGCAATTTTCCAGAACCTGCCACCAACCCCCACCTGCCCCTTCAGTGACAGTGGAGATGGGGAAAGAAGGAGGGGATGGCTAGGCAGGGTATTTCCTTTTTTGTTCATCAGGGTCTATCAGCGACTCCAAAACGTACCTAGTTAAACCCATATCTAACCCACAGACCATGTCCCCTGGGTCAGATAACTCTCAGGCGGATATCCCCATACATATTTATTGAATGCCTTTTTGTTTTAATTAAAGCCCTCATTGTTTATAAAGCCCCTTTAGGACCGTAAAAATAAAATTATTTTCCTTCCATCCTGATTTCAACTACTTGCACTTGGCAAATACGTATTCCCCTGTTCCCTGTTGCTCAGCCTTGAATTTAAAAGCTCTAAAGATGGATTTTCTTTTTTTAAAATAATGCCTTTGACCTCCCTATTCTATGGCTCAAGTATAAGCCCTTGTAGCTTCAGAATTTGGGCTATTCCACAAGACTTTCCAACAAGCAAAGCTGTCTTACTAGACAATTCCCCTGGCAGCTCAAACTCCAAGAATCATTTGCAAACCAGTCAGAAGGGGCAGCTGTGATTTCATACCTGTGGACAGGATCAGCTTGTACTCTTCCACGGACAGGCCACTAAAGCTCGTGTCTCTGGGGCGAGGGTACTGGTCATTCGGGGCAGAAAGGAGAGAAGGGAGCGGGGAGAGGGTTAGTTCTGCAGCACAACCTGAGACCTGGTGATCCTGGACTTGCTCTCTAACTGCATGCCTTTCTCTGGGCCGTGGGCGGCCAGAGGCCAGAGGCCCGGCAAGAAGAGCAGCGCCACCTGGAGGTCAAAGACTTGGCCCTGAAAGAACTGCTATCATCTGGGGCAGGCTGCTCCAACTTGAACTTGCACGGGAGTCCTCTCAGGGAATGCAGGCTGTGATTCAGGAGGATGGGTGGGGCCCACGACTCTCATTTCTTACCAGCTCTCAGGCGATTCCCCTGCTGCTGCTCTTGGACCACACTTGGAGTTGGTGGTGGGCATTTGGCCATGTATGTTTGGGGAATTTACTGAACACATTTTTCAAACCTGGGAAAAACCACACTCAATGGAATTTGACAGTAATCATGAAAGGGCCAAGGAAAATCCCAGTTTTGTCTGACAGGACTTTCCCAATCACCCCATCTTTATCACCAGAGTGTGGGGAAATGCCGGTTCCATCAGTGTGGATAGGAGAACAGGGGTGAGTTCCAACTGTTATCAGATACACCCAGAAGCACACGCTGGCATTTAAAATACAGGGCTTTTATTCAAAATTATAAATAGCTTTTATTTAAGTGACCTAAAAGCCTCTACCGGGTGCCCTGAAAATTACTGGTTACATTTGAAAGTAGCAAATCCGCAATTCTTTACAAAACACTGTGTAATCAGATTTTTACTTGTTCTCACTGGTCCTCTCCAGTCAGAGGGCTACAAAAGACTGGCCCACTCACCTTGTGTTTGTAATAGTTTGAATGGAGTCGTGCTAAACTCTCGTACATCTGATCACAGGCCTCAGGCTCTGCAACCTGAAAAACAAAGAACCCCCAAGGAGGTGAGGAACAAGCTGGGCCTCCCACAGCACGTGGATACCCCCAGGAAGGGCCCCTTAAATAAGGCATTCACAGGAAGCCGGCCTGCAGCTTAGCACCAGCTTCCAGGCTCCGCAGGAAGCAAACCTGGCCTACAGCTCCCGCTATCAGAAATCGCCTTTT